AATTCACCGTGGGTGGGTATACTAGCAAAATCAATTGCAGAGTACAGCAAATGTTTATTCATGTATGCAAACAACAAATACCTATGTCATATAATATATATATAATATTGCACAGTAATAAGTGTACCCAAAGTTATTGTGATAATATAAATAATGGTAAGTGATAACCATAGTCATATATATTGTGTTTAGATCAGGGCTTGCAAACCTTATAATAACGTTATATTTGACGAATAGCGATTGCAATTTGTAAACGTAATTATAACGGAAAGCGATAATCAAAAATAATTAAATACCGCAAAACAAAGCATAACGAATAACAAAATATATCGCAAGACGTAATTTATAGAATATCATTAAACGAAAAATAACGCAAAACAAAATTATTTAAAATAGTAAGGTACTTATATTGGTTTCGTAGAAATATATTTTATTTCGTGCTATTTAATTTTGTCTTAGAAAAAAATCTAAAAATTGATTATATTATATTTCGTATCCGGGACATTACCTACCCGCATTTTTTTGAGTTATTGATAATTTTTAAATTGAATTGATAAAAAGCAAATACCTATAGTATAATAATAATAATTATTGAATAATTATTAATGAATTTCTGATCCTGCCTTCCATTCAAGTTCAATTATTGGTAAAAGTGTTTCTCAATCGCGTCGGTGAACATAAAAATAACGGCAATAATTTCCAGTTTGTAAAACAAATACCCAGGGGCCATCTACCCTTGCCTTATCAAGATTATTAACAGTTGAAAGAAATACGCAACATATATAGAAGTTTTATACGAGGTGACCACATTTGAACAGTACGCAGTTTCAGAGTAAACAAAAAACGATATATCATAATTAAAAAAAAACAATAAATCATATTAATAAAAAAAACCTCAATTAGGGAACGATAACATATAACGCAATGTGCTATAATGAAACATTAATACTGTAGGACTTTGAGCAGCAATTAGTTTTATATCTGATAGACGGAAAAATTATTATTAGTACTCGCCTGCGGTGATTATTACAGATGAAAATGAATTGAACTGCGAGTCCACAGTCCAAAAATAATTATTTTAGAATATATTGATAAAAATAACGGTGGAACGATTATATTAAATAAGACTGGGTCGGAACTTTGAGTACAAAACGAGTGTAATAAAATGGTTTTTTTGTAACGAATTTATATAACATAATTTATTTTGTGGAGCGATAGATAAAATTACGATAATATAGACTATCTATAGGCAGATGCTGTCTGATGAAGTCTTAATAAAAATGAATAAGAATAAATAATAAGCATTTACACGCGACATAATATTTAAGTGCGATTTGACAGTTTTTATTCTTTTCAAGGTTTTTTTTATTATTTGAATTTACTCCAAAGTACCGACACGGATGATTACAATATTTTACACATAAATAAATTATATACATTACATACAAATACCTATCTAATATCAACTTAAAAATAAAAACCACTAAGTACTGCTAATATCCATATACATATAAACTTTCGACCGAAAACAATATCATGGTGCGTCATAGTATGAATGTGTAGTGATCCTAACCCAAGATAATATACGATAATATATATAATATCATATCGTCGTCATCGAATATTTGAATTTATAAGCTATTACAGTATTATCAATATATAAATATATGTATATTATATTGCATAGCCGAAAATTGTAAACGCAAATGCCACGGCGTGTCGTTTGTATAATATTATTATTATTGATCTTGAATGGTATTTAGAAAATACCATTTTAAAAATGATTAGAATATTGTTTTTTATTTGCTTTATTTTTTTAATTGATTCATAAACACTGTAAACCTATCTGAGCTTAAAACACTTCTATATTTAGATAGATAATAAAAAAAAATGATATTATATTACCTATTTAGATAGAAATGAGATATTTTTTTTTCGTCTTTTTCTCAAAAAATTCAGTTTAAATTACTAATAATTATTAATAAATATTATATACATGATATGGTCATGCAACATTATATGGATGGTTATAATTTCTATCTCAGGTTGGAAGTTGGATACCTACCAGTTTTGTATAATTTATCTAGATAATATAAATATACGATGATTGTATTTAGATAAGGTACCTTAATATATTTAACCTACTAAATGTAGCTACCTATTAGCTACCTACTTTCTATTGGCTATTGCACAATACTGCGAACGAGTGAAAAATATCAAAACTCCATTGTGCCGTTGGCAGCTGTTGTACACAGGACACACACCTATAGATGAACGTATTAAAATATTAATATGAAATAATGATATATTATTATATTCTCAATCGTAAACCCCTACAATTGTCGTGACGTGGCCGCCACATTCCGATCATCGGTTGGAAATCCTATATTTCATTCACGAAGAATAAAAGTTAAATCTTTATTCTTCATGATTTTTATGTAGCCGCCCGGTCGGCCGTCTAGTTTGGTGTGGTTCGTTGTTTCATTCTGCCTTGAACGGCTTCGTTACCGGATTTACCGGTCTGGAACCTTTTGAATTTAGTGGTATCGGTTCAAATACTGATTCTCCAAAAATAAAATAAATGTTCCCGATGGTTCTGGTTTTTGGTAAAACAAAATAAAGGTATCGGTTCCTAATAATTTCGGTGCCGGTTCCAGTTCATTTAGGTACCGAAATGTATAATAATTTTAAATACCTATCCGGAATGCGGGTTTAATTAATAGTATGAGAAATATTAGACAATTTATATGATTATACATAGTTTATACACAAAACAATAATACCATTAAATTATGATAGATAAAATTATTTTATTTTTGAACCTAAAAGAACCTATTTAATTTTAAAATTCCTGTACGGTTCCGGTATTTTATTTATTACAATAAAGATTTCGGTTCTGGTTCTGGTTCTTAATATTTTATAAATTCCGGTTCCAGAACTGCTTCTTTTAGGTTTGGTTCCAGTCTCTGGTGTAGTAACCCGTCGCTCTCACTTGATTGGTTACTGCACACTTCTTTAACGACGAATGCACGTACACGTCGTCGCAATGAATCGGAGGATGGTGGTCGAAGTGAAGGCAAAATAAATAGTTTAACACAAAATGTAGTTAATTATAGATATAATGTTTATTAACACGAAACTAATAATATAATTGATTTTAAGTTAGTTAAAATTTGTAGACAGAATAATAATTCTACCGGAGAATAGTTGTAATTTAATTTGTACTTGATGTGGCTGTTTCTAGTCCGCGACCCACACAAGTATTGTAAAGCACTGGTAACTACTTCTATGTCTGAAAAGTCTGTGAAACAGGGCACCTATTTATATGAGACATGCCCGGGATTTAGGAAAGGATGATTGACGTCAAAGGAATGGCGTGATGCGTAGTCGATCAGTATTAACCAATGAGGCGGCAGCCTCAGTGGCCTATTTTGGTGGCGTGATGTTGTTCAGGCCACCTCACCTTTGGAACGCTATTTTTTTGCAGTTCAAATATTGTCACACAGAGTGGCGTGAAGGTGCTTGCACTAATGGGTGGTAGTAGACATTTGAATACAGGCCGATTCGGGCTCCCTTATATATAAGGTTCCTCGTACCCCTTGCCTACATAATATACGATATCTCGGTTCTCACAGATGTGATTTGTGTGATCATTATTCCAGCCTACGCATTTACGACTGAACGCATTACCAAAATATGATTACTAATTTATTAAATTACTACATTACTAGATTATACAAATAATCATTTTACTCTTTTCGTTTGAACTTCGCCGTGTGCACTCAGTGCTTTCCCTGTAAAATGTTACAACCGCCTATTTCTGAATCCTAATTTCCTTAATATCTGGTTATGCCGATCCATCGTATATTATAATAATAAGTAACTGGCTTACTACAAATGTATCACTGATGCGTCCAGTATTTCTGTCAATTATGACAACCGCCTATTTTTACCCTATTATCCTGATTTATTCAGTGAGCCTGTCTCCTTAGGTTTGAAGGACCCATTTCCATTCTTAATGCCCGACTATGCCAGTCTACCGTCTATTATAATAATTATGCACCTGTGGAATTTGGTTTTATTGTTACGTAGTAACTTGTTTACTTACACTATATTATGTACAGACAATATTAATCTTGACCTTGTATGGTTGACCTTGTAACATGTCCATACACTGCTCGGATCTCTTATTTGAGACCGGATATGTTTCCAATGAATCGCCCCCGCTGTTTCGTCCCCGTCTATTATTAAGATAGGATATTTGGTATCCGGGAGTTAATATTGTCGTCGTTGTCGTCGTGGTCACCTTTGTCACCGAACAACTCAAACAAAATTGGTAATTTCACATTTCAGCAAATTCCCAAAAATAATATTTTGAAAAAAGTTATTAGTTTCAATAATAATATGTATAATATTTATTAAACAAATAAATTAATATATGTAAAACACTAAAACCCCAAACGTGCAGTATTGAAAGACTAAAAGCATCGTTAATTTAACACATGAAGACAATAGTTGAAATAACTGAGAACAAATTAAACATCAATATTAAATTATAAATACAAGTTTTTAGCTTAGAGTAGGAATCGAATATAAAAAAATCAAAATTAGCAATTTTATTACAAGTTGTTGGTAGGTGACACACCGGACTATTTTGAAGTAGTTGTTCTTAGAATGTTTTTTGATTTGTCAAATCCAATTTAAATTTTATACATATTAATATAAATATTATATTGAAGATGTACGTTTTTTAAGAATAATTTAATTTTAAATTTTAAAAAAGTCATTTAAATATATTGATTAATACCGAGGGCCAAATGTCCTATCTTAATAATGGACGGGGGCCAAACGTCCTTTTACCTTTCGAATGGATACATTTATGGATTATTGTGCACAGAACGAAATAGAAGCAGTAAAATTAACAAAGATTTGTGATTAATTTTTGATAAAAATAAATGTATTAGTGTCACAATATCTGCATTGATTCGTACAAATCTTATTCAAATTACGCGTGACGGTCCAGAAATGAGCCTTTGTCGAGAGTTTTCAATAATAAGAGTTATCGATCCATCGGTTATACGTCGGAACCCCTCGGGAACCGCTTCCTCGGATTGTTCCAGTCTCTTCGATGGATTCCACATGGGCACTACTGGGGAGTCTCTACTAAAAAGAAGAGATATCGTTCCATCGGCGGACAATCGGGACCCCTCGGGAACTGCTTGCTCAGATTGTTCCATTCTCTTCAATAGACCATCGCACGAGTTCCACCCACTAATCACCATCTTGAACATTGGTGGGTCTTCACTAACCGTTTTGTAAAACTGAAGTAAGGTGAACAGAAAAAGAAAGAAATAGATTAATCGACCATAACGTTAAATATCTATGTATATCTAACTACCTATATAAATGTGAAATGAAAATCTTTGTACAAGGTAAACTCTGGAATAACTTATCAATCTTATGATTTTTTTTTTTAAACAAAAGAGTATATCACGGAGAAGGTTTCTATAAAAGAAAATTTTAGGAAAATCTATCGGAAAAGTAGGAAACCCGGATGCCAAAATACATGAGTTTCACCATGTGTCCAGAAAAGATATAAACTAAAAATAAAAAAAGAAATAAAAAGAAATATATTTTATTGTCTCAGATTAAAATAATAACAGTGTATTATATATTGGTCGCTGCAAGTTAATTTTGCCTTTTTTGTTTATTTGTATTATTTTTTTTGTCAATAAATATATGTATGTATATGAATGTTTGTGGGTAGATCAGACCTCCATGAAGAAAATATAGGATAATTTAAATAATCTTAAATTTTGTTTTTTTTTTTTAATTAACGGATTTTAGTATGGTTAGTTTAAGTCAGGATTTTGTATTAATTGATTATATTAATCCACCGTAGGTAGAATTAAGTAAAAACGACAAACTTGGTATTTTTGATACTTTAGAGTTAAACCATACGCTTATGTACAAACAGCATCGGGTATACCGCTGATCTTACCTACCTGATAATAGACAACTGCGGATCAGAATTTTTATTATGAGCAACAGAAAAGTTAAGATAAATTTTGAACACCATACACTATATATACTAAATAACGAATTGAATAATGTTTGAGTCAAATAGAGTTGGTACATTTAACAGGCAACGTAGTGCACGGGATCAGCTAGGTAGTATATTATAATTAGTGAATTATGCAATAATTATGCAATTATGGATAAGTTGTTGATTAGGATATCATATGTAATATAATATTTGATAGAATATGTATGCGTAAACATAGTATACTCACAGCACATCTGAAGTCTGGTTTTCCTGTCCATGTTTTGGAGTATAAATATGAACGCCAGCCATGTAGTGTGAGGTTCTTGGAGATAAACGGTGTTCTTTCCTCACACTGAAATATGTAGTGGTCCATATCTGTTAGTTCATGAACAAAAAATTATACGAAAATGATGATTATAATAGTTTACCTATTTTTAATAATTAATATTTATTGAAACAGTATTTTTGTTGACACATTACGACGTAATATTTAGCGTTCTTTTTGTGTGCACGTTTACATTCGAATACGTCATACATTTTACATTCGGATGTTTATAAAATTATACCGGGATGATTTATTATCCATACTATAAAAGCAAGTCCAGATTTTGTGTCACGGGTTAAGGTTTGACGGAAATCACCAGCGAAAACAAATGTTATACCACCCTAGGCTTATTGTTACACCTAAGATCTTTTAATGTTCGATCAATTGCTTCAATATGAGACCTGTTATAATATTTATATTACATTAGGTATCCTAAGTAGGTACTAAACAATTGTTATATCATTACCCATTTGCTAAGTGTTTGTATATTAAAGCAAAAAAAAAAAAAATTTGAAATGTACTAGGTGCATAATAAAATATTTATCTATACTATAAAAGCAAGTCAAGATTTTGTGTCACGGGTTGGCTCCGAAATAGCTTGGCAGAATTGGCTGATTATTTTTTTGTTATGTGTGTTTAGTTACTATAAAACACTATACTATATTATACTACAACCATTGATTATTTGGAAGATTAACACTGGGAGCGCTGTCGACGCTTATCTTACTGATGGTTAGGTGGGTACCCCCTACGCGGAGTCAGGACTTAATTCGGGAAGTCGTATGTACTTTCCCGACATTTCGCATACATTTTGCTATAAGTGAATTGTATTTGAATGTATTTGAATGTATTTGTTAATATTAGTAGAAATTGTACTCACCAACGTATACAGTTAGCTATAGAAGCGTATACAGTAGAGATAACAAAATTCATTTATTTTAAAAAGTAAAATAACCAATATAAAATATCGGGATGTATATCTATACATCCCGAATCAGAAGGTACAAATTGTTTCCACCAAAGCACGTTTTGTTAATCTGCTTTCCCAATAAATATTTATTATAATAAATGCTACTACTATACATATTACATAATAGTAAGGTAGGTATAGTAAGTAATTACATTAAAATCTTTTCAGGATTTCACAATAATGGTAGAAGTGTTGTTAAAATATGTATATAGCCAAAAACCACCACCAACATATGTTAACACTTTTTAGAGTTACCTATATAGGATATAGTTTAGCTATAGGTAAACCTAAAAGGTATATCTGTAATTTATAAATGTAATCTGTTTCATCCAAAAAAGATTTGATTATTATTTAAAATTGGTGGATGGTTGTTTGCAAACTGTGGGGCTATTTTGTGGCTCCACAAATCATGTCTATCTATCAAGCTACGTTTTTTTTTTATATTGATAGTAATTGAACTGTATGCAGAGTAGTGTAAAACTGTTAACATTTTATCTTAAGGGGCCTCGCTACGGTCGTTATATTTTATGGGGCGATATTTAGGCAATTTCTAATCAAAAAGATACATTTTTTTGACAAAATGAAACTTGGTTAACGTTGTCTGATTTTGATTCTGAAAAAATATTTGAATTCAGCAGAAAAATGTCTGTAGGTCGTAAGAAACTTTTTCCGTTTTTAATACTACTTATGATTCGAAAACGTTCATATTTTCAAGTTTTCAATTATAGTTTACAATAATATAAAATTTAGTTTTTACAAAGTGCTTTGTAGGATCTATATACAATTTTCTAGTGAGTTAAGACTTTTTTTTAGAATCAAAATCGGACACTGTTAACTAACTTTAATTTCGTGAATACTTTAGGTCTTTTCAGCTAAAATTGACGGCAGTTAAGAGGCTCTTTAATTTTCCCGTTACCCGAAAAACAATTCTGATTGTTTTTTAACTCCCTTTAGGTTTAATATGATATATAAGCAATATCTTTTTATGCGTAAATGATATTATATTTTAATGTATAGAAATCTAGACCAGCGTTATCTCGTGATATTCGCAGCACAATATTATCAGGTAGGCAATCTATTTATCTATATCTATTATTTATTTTGCACGTTTTTAATTTTACATGAAAAATATCGATTATAATATATTATACTATTTAATATATAGTGCTTTCTTGAAACAAAGGACTCGGCGAAGAACCCTCATCCATCACCATCTTGCCGTAATAATAAAGATTTGTTGTACTTACTTTTATCTCCACACTTTCCGCCGCCTGTTTCAGAACTGCCCAGCCACAAGTTAAACGATGGTCTCCAACTCGGGTTTCTTGGTGTCATAGAAGCACATCCGCCTATTTTCGGCGCTGTAGTGCCCAACACCGTTACGTTAAAGCTGTTGTCGATGTGTCCAAATGGTGGACATTCATCATGGCGGTACGTTTTAATGAACTTATCTGAGAGAAGATGAGAAATACAATATTACAATTAAATAGGATAGACGAGTATAGGTTCTACCTAGGTGTTAATAATGTAGATATTATATTTATTATGTTAGCGAAGAATCTTCGTCGTGCTGGTAAAATTACACATGAATATATTTTCAATCGATACTTCCGATAGGGATAGTGAACGCGCTCACAATACTGTAGATATGCACATTACTTTTCACCACAAGAACTCGATTAAACCGGCTTTTTTACAAGAACATATCAATATAATTTCTCTATAACAACTATTATATCATAGATTTCGTATTTTGTCCCAGTATTGACAACCGGAAGTTCCCATTATATACTTAAGCCACCGAGGTCATGCAAGTGTTCTCAGCACCGGCCGAGAGGCATACGTTGCGCGAGTGTTTGAGGCAAGTCCCGGACCCCGGACCGCCCGCGTGCCCCTCACTTCTATATACTTCTAGTACTCGATTCCCTAGATCGATTTGCCCTGCTCAGCTAAGCAGACAGCCCCACAAGTTATAATATTGTTATGGACGTCGGTCCTCATGTGTCAACTGCTTCAGTTTATCATATATCTGAGTGTTTCCAAGCGGTTTCGTTTAATGCAGGGCAACATGTATGGTTTTGTTCTCTATAACCTACGCTGCATTAGCACCACGTTGGGTAGGCTAGGAGATGGAACCGCATATAGATGATGGTTGTATGTGCAGCAGAGGTGAGCTATGTCTTTGAAACGCTAAAGCAGGGGCACGGACAACCGCTCGTCTGGGCGCGGAGTGCGGACTACTTGTTAGGCGAATTAGGGAATGAGTCTATATGTTGAGGATAATGTGTTGTATTTTTTTTCTAACCAAAAGCAGGCAGGGTATTTTTATAGTTTAAAGTCTGAGCCACGGGTGGGTCGAATACGGCTGTTATCTGGAACCATCAAAGCCTACCCGTTGCCCGCGCCTGACGCATCTAACCCAAACCACCGTCGCCACTGCGACCAGCAGAACACGTTTAGCTCTGTTAGTTTAAAAATTAGAGCGAATTGACCTCTCATAAAATTTAATAGTAAGATTTTTATCTAGGTAATCTAGTGGTATTTTTTATTTATTTTAGTTTTCAGCGAGTTATGAGTATTTTAAAAGGAACAAATCATTTACAATTTTAAAATATTCATAACACTTTTTAAAATTAAAATATAATTAAAAGCCGATGAGATGCTCTTGATAAAACCCTATAATTGTCTTACCTTTACATTTTATAAGAGGTAGATTCAGTCTAATATTGAAAATAACAGAGCTACACGTGTTCTGGTGAGGGTACAATTTGTTATGTTACGCATTTGTAAGACGGAAACAACAAATGTCTGTGTAAGGTTTCCACACTATCGCTTTTTAGAGTAAAATAGACCTGTAAGCGTTCCAATGTACTAACTTGAGTTTTACTTATATAATAATTTTGAAAACATATTTGAATTTATTATGAAGTCTCTTTTGAATCATTCGAATCAGAATAATAAAAAAAATAATTCAAAACTATTTATGTATATTAAATATTTTAAGAATACAAGTTTTTTTTCTAAATTTCAAGTGAGATTTTTTCTTTTCAAGAATAATAAACTAAAAATGTGGCTCGAAGGATCCAAAGTGGATTGAACAGCAAAACAAAATTTGTCTCAAAAATTATTATCGGTGTAAAACTCAAGTCGGTATGTTGGAATTATTTTAGGTCTATGATTTACAACATTTCGCCATGAAATAAATTTGTTGATAGGCATAATGTGACATTTGCATTGCGAGTGCGCAACGCTTATCTATTGTACAGGGAAGTCATTCACACCAATGATCATTTACTATACACCAATCTACCTTAGGTAAATTGCCTACCTGATAATATACTGCTGGGAATCAGAATTTTTATTCCAGACAATAGAAAAGTTAAGAGAAATGTTGAACACCATACACCGAATATTAAATAACGAATTGAACAAAGTTTGAGTCATATAGAGTTGGTACATTTATCGGGAAACGAAGTGCACGGGATCAGCTAGTTAAATATATATACATTTATTAAATTTAGGATAAAATTAATGTTATAAAATAATAAAACAACAATAACAATGATAATGGTAAAATAATATAATTAAAGTATTAACAACAAATAAGAATGTACCTACTTAAAAAATATAATCTGTATATTTTTTGTGAACTTAATTACTAATTACTATTTACTGAATAGGTTATATAATTTCTTACGCATTGTACCGGTGTCTTCTCTTTGAGGTTCATCTGGAGGATATTCTTCGGGGAGGTCATCGGTTGTTGCCAATATGGGGAGCCTAACGGTTCCAAATACGGGGAGTGCCAATATGGGGACTGCGATGGCCAGCAACATGTATAATCTCACCGTAAACGCCATCGTATTGCGGTTACGCCAAGAAAATAACGTAATTATTAGTAGAAACGGAATGCACAAAATTAAATCGAACGCAACGGCGAGCACGGAAGGAAAGTTAGTCACGGAGCGAGAAAATGACCACAACAACGCAAAAGTCAAACTGAAAACGCGGTTAGCAAGCAATGAATAGTGCTGAGCTGTGTGCGTGCTCTTTTATAAGCAGCGACGACGGCGGCGGCGTTCGTGTAGTTGGTTCCCACCACCGGTCGATGGACAAAGGCGCAACTATCGGAGCACGGGAGAAACTGCAATTCTACCGGACGGACACTGTCCTCCGACCTTTCCGCCCACCGAGCCACCACAGTAAAGTTCACACACCTATACACATGAGGAAAGAAACATCTGCATGGCCGCCGCAGCGTTGTATGTCGGAATCGGGAAATCGCGGCGAGAAACGTCGGACATGTATAATAAAATATAAGACAATACGATGTAATTGTGAAGATATTTATAGGTATAACAAAATGTGAATATTGCAATGATATTTCGAAACACGGCCGCAGATCAGCGAGCAGTCACTCGAATATGCTAAATATAATATAACATTATTTTATATAATTTGGGTCGAAAATCGAAATAACACGATTCCACGGCTTGATTAGTATGCTCTGTCCACTGTCATATTATTATATCTTAAATAATACTGTCCATCAATAGAATAGACGATCTATCGATTTTTTTTTATTTTATATATTTAACGGCCGGTCGCCCAATAGTACAGTCAACTTACATTATACAATAAATAAAAAGGTACCCTGCTGTTCAGTAGGTTACAAGTGGGTCGCAGTATAATAGATGGTATTAAATTTGAATTCAATGATATATTACCATTGTATAAGAAAAACTATTCTGAGCGGAGACAGTATGCCAGTTTTGGTAAAAGACATATTATATACTTATCTAAGGTATTAAAAAAAATTGACCTATAACAGGTACCTACCTATAGTAAATTTCAAATTAATCATATCACAATATCCATTATTTACTTATAACGCGTTATACATCAACAACAAACCCTGATACTATCATAGATATATAATAGTTTACTTTAGAAGTTTCAAGTTCCCACGAATAATATTATACAACCACAACAAAATAACTAAAATAGTTATTTTAGGTTTTTTAATATGTAATTTCGTCCAAATTTGAACTTAAAATTACTATAAAAATAAACTGTGCCAATGTAGTGTTTAGATTTTTTGGTGACAGAATTAAATACTTACGCGGAGTCTTTTTTTAAATTTTAAATCCTTAAATAATGTGCTTAATAATGTGCTTAGTATTCCTAAAGAAGGAATCATTTTCCTTCACTTTTGTTTGCGACGGTCGTATTAAATTCCATAAATAAGTGGCCAGTTGACAGCAGCATGTTAAGATACACGATAAATGTTTAGGCTAAAGGAAAATAACTATTGTCAGTGCACTGGAGACGATTATAATATACCTACGGTATATTTTTTTTGGATGTGCACTACTTCATTAAAAACCCACGAGCTGCCACTGGCTGGAGCCCCCCAGTATTTTAACAATAGTTGCACCTAGGTCTCCAATATATTGTCGGGCACCAATTCGTATATCTATAATCTATATAATATCGTACACAGGTAATAGGAGAATATAGTATACATTATAATATTATTATACAAACACACTACATTAATTCTTAGATCGATTTAATTTACTTGTCGTTTGCAGGGTAAAGGTCAAAATAACACTAAGCGAATGACGAGAGTTTCGAACAATTCTACTGTGCACGTGCATTGTGCCACTGTCTACTAAAGTAGCCTCTAACCAGGGTACTACAACAACGGTTGCCGGTCCTACACCGTATAGGTATAATATTATAGTGTGTTACCTATATATTTTAGTTTTTATGTTACATAAAATATATAATATTAAGGTAGGTATACATATACACTTTCGACCGAAAATAATATCATGGTGCGTCATATAGTATGAATGTGTAGTGATTCTAACCCAAGATAATATACAACAATATATATAATATCATATCGTCGTCATCGTCTGTTTGAATTTATAAGCTATTACAGTATTATCAATATATAAATATATTTATATTATATTGCATAGCCGAAAATTGTAAACGCAAATGCCACGGCGTGTCGTTTGTATAATATTATTATAATTGATCTTTTTTTCAATTTTAAAAATGATTAGAATATTGTTTTTTATTTGCTTTATATTTTTAATTGATTCATAAACACTGTAAACCTATCTGAGCTTAAAACACTTCTATATTTAGATAGATAATAAAAAAAAATTATATTATATTACCTATCTAGATAGAAATGAGATATTTTTTTTTCGTCTTTTTCTCAAAAAATTTAGTTTAAATTACTAATAATTATTAATAAATATTGTATAAATTATATTGTCATGCAACATTATATGGATGGTTATAATTTCTATCCCAGGTTGGAAGTTAGATACCTACCAATTTTGTATAATATATCTAGATAATATAAATATACGATGATTGTATTTATATAATTTACCTAAATATATTTATCCTACTAAATGTAGCTACCGAATGCCCAACACTGCAAACGAGTGATAAATATCAAAACTCCATTGTGCCGTTGACAGCTGTTGTACACAGGACACACACCTATAGATGAACGTATTAAAATATTAATATGAAATAATGATATATTATTATATTGAGAGGTGGAGGCTTGACAATCGTAAACTAATTGTCGTGACGTGGCCGCATTCCGATCATCGGTTGGAAATCCTATATTTCTATCACGAAGAATAAAAGTTAAATCTTTATTCTTCATGATTTTTATGCAGCAGCCCGGTCGGCCGTTTAGTTTGGTGTGGTTCGTTGTTTCATTTTGCCTTGAACGGCTTCGTTACCGGATTTACCGGACTGGAACCTTTTGAATTTAGTGGTATCGGTTCGAATACTGATTCTCCAAAAATAAAATAAATGTTCCCGTTCGGTTCTGGTTTTTGATAAAACAAAATAAAGGTATCGGTTCCTAATAATTTTGGTGCTGGTTCCAGATAATTTAGGTACCGAAATGTATAATAATTTTAAATACCTATCCGGAATGCGGGTTTAATTAATAGTATGAGAAATATTAGACAATTTATATGATCATACATAGTTTATACACAAAACAATAATACCATTAAAACCACAAATATAATAATCACACCTTCTACCATTAAAACCGCTATCGAGTTAGATTACATATAATATTGATTTTCACTACATATATTGTAGGAACGTAGGGCTTACTAAGTATTGACCTACAGAGAATCGAGGTACTCGGTACTGTTATCGACGACAAAAATATTATTTTCAATAGAATCGTAGATATAACGAAATATTTTGCATTTATAATGAATAAAGATGTACCCATTATATATTTTTTATAAGCTTAGAGATAATTAAAAAAAAATTATGTATATCAATCGACATCCATATAACGATAAGTTTTACGCATTATCATAATATATGATGAACTCATATTTATTATCCGTATCTCATTAATATAGCTACATTCATTCGACATTTATTGCGCCATAGCCGCCATTAAACTTATAAACTTTATTATAGCCCATACTATCACAATTAGTATAAATAATATTAATCAACCGAATTTTCAAAAGAAATTAGGTATAAAATATTACTCCTTATTCCTTAATACTTTAATGTATTAATGTATTAGGGGGCGGCGTGGACATATTTTTCCTATGAAGCAACTATACCTTAAATACCTATAAGTAACAGCAACCATTTTTCACATTTTACACTATCTTTTAACGCTATTTTAAACTCGGGTCATATGTGACTATGCAAGTATAATTAAAATTATAAGCTAGTCTAGCCGTCTAAATCTAAAGTCTTGGAGACTGGAGTCATTGGTGATTGGTATACCAATTCACTTTTTGCATAAGGAGGCTTCCTCATAAAATAGCTATTCACTCTGCCACCGATATGTATTATAATAATATGATATTATATAAATCGTATAATTATTTATCCCCATACTGGTCCTTAAGACTGGTCAATACATTTATGTTACTACAACTTCTATTATATGAAATTAAATTATAATATATTGAATATATTTCTTTGATTTCTGGAACTACAACCTAATAAACGTATGATAACTATTTTTTAAAATCACGCATTTATATATGAGAAACTATGTGCACGGGATCCGCTAGTAATATTATAAAATATAAATGTACAACTTATACTTATTATCTACCGTATACATTTTGAAATGTAAATTAAACAACATTTTGTATTGACATTATTTTATGATTTTATTGTTTGTTTAGTTATTAGAGGGCACCTCTGCAGCAGTAGACAATTCCATTCAAGTGACTCATCTATTCATCTACTATGGCTTTAATAGCACATTTACGACGCCGTATCATTTTTGTTAGTAGTCGTAAATATTAAGAAATGGTTAATGCAACGGATGTGTAACGTGGAAAGTACAATGTTCACTACCAAAAAAATACGGCACAAACGAAATACATATACACAATATAGGTATGGTATGGGATTAGGTAGGTACTATATATTATATTGTTATCGACAACGGCCTATGTATATATGCCATATATATACAATAGTTGTAGCCCTTAGGAATGTTTTTATCGTTTCCAAATTCCAATAACCTCCGTAGATATTATGATATGAGAAGTTTTATAATACGCGTTTACACTATTTATGTACAGACAATATTAATCTTGACCATACAAAACATGTCCATACACTGGTTGGGTCTCTTATTTGAGACCGGATGTGTTTCCAATGAATCGCCAACGCTGTTTCGTCCCCGTCTATTATTAAGATAGGACATTTGGTATCCGGGAGTTAATATTGTCGTCGTTGTCGTCGTGGTCACCTTTGTCACCAAACAACTCAAACAAAATTGGTAATTTCCCATTTTAGCAAATTCCCAAAAATAATATTTTGAAAAAAGTTATTAGTTTCAATAATAATATGTATAATATTTATTAAATAAATAAATTCATATATGCAAAACACTAAAACCCCAAGGGTGCAGTATTGAAAGACTAAAAGTATCGTTAATTTAACACATGAAGACAATAGTTGAAATAACTGAGAACAAATTAAACATAAATATTAAATTATAAATACAAGATTTTAGCTTAGAGCAGGAATCGAATAAAAAAAATCAAAATTAGCAATTTTATTACAAGTTGTTGGTAGGTGACACACCAGACTATTTGTGAAGTAGTTGTTCTTAGAATGTTTTTTGATTTGTCAAATCAAATTTAAATTTTGTGACAATTCATACATAAATATTATATTGAAGATGTACGTTTTTTAAGAATAATTTAAATTTAAATTTTAAAAAAGTCATTTAAATATATTGATTAATACCGAGTGCCAAATGTCCTATCTTAATAATGGATGTTGGCGAAACGTCCTTTTACCTTTTCGAATGGATACATT